GGGGGGGGTAGGGAAGGGTACGGCTACATGAAGGTCAGAGCTAGAGTGGATTTAGTAGGTTCTCGTTATTAGCGCTGTACGACGCGGGAAGATGAGAAGAGTCAGGGGGAGGTTTTCCAGGGGTCTGGCGCTAATAGTGTTAAACCCCTTCGCACACCTTTTGCCGCTCGCGTTGCTCAAGGCCTGATAATTTTCCGCGGGCGAAGAAAAGCTCGCGCCTAATAACAGGTTAAACGGAAGCGAGAGGGGAGGGTGCGGCTACAGGTAGGCTAGCCTAATGAGGGCGTGCTCGCAAGCTTGAGAGGATTATTCAAAACTAAGGATTTGCCTCATGCGGCACTAGAACCCTACAGAGTTAACCCAAGACCCCCCGCCCTCTCCCCCTCCCCTTAATCCTGAATTTTTGCATGAGAAATCAAAAAACAAATTTTTTTTGTTATTGTTTTAGCGGTAACCGGCTTTAGAACTACTGGGTGTTAGGGAAGATTGGAGTTAAGCAGGGCACACTCCTTTAATCTGTTTACGGATTATGGTGAGGAATCATGGAATATACTGTCTAAGTACTAAGAGGCAGCCAAGGGCACTCCAAAATTTTTTTATTCTTCTAGCGAAGTTAAGTCTCTCATTATCTTAACATTTGATTTTGAACATTACCTATAGAGAAAAAAAATTATAAAGAGATTCTCTTTGGGGCTTAAAAGTCCAATAGAATTTTGCAAAATTAATTTAATAAATAATAAAAACCCTGAATAGGTCCCACAACATTACTTTTTGTCTTGTTTCTTAATTCAGTCGCCGAATTCAAAACTATTTCTCTTGCTGTACAATTAATGATATGGAGCGTAATATAGTAAATGTTACGAAACGATGCTACAATAACCCACGTTCACGAGTTTGATTTGCTCCAAATTATCGTTCGTTTTCCTTCAAAAAGCATGGAATGAACTTCACGCACGGTTTAAAGAGTTCGATGACAAATCGTATTTCGTGATTTTCAAGTTAGAAGCTATTTTTGGTTTTATTTCTTCAGGAATTTACAGAATGAACTTCCGAATACGGTGTTTGTGAAGAAAGCCACTTAGAGTATCTCGTGACTGTTCACAACCGCTCAGGGTAACAATGATGTAATTGAACACCGAGACCGGAAATACTTACAAATTTGGCATGCATTCAGTATCCACACCAGAAGTTCAAACAATCGTCACGGCTTTCGGAGATTACGTTGTTTGAAAATATTTTGAACAAGACAGTCTACTGCTCTTGTCATCACGCCGGTATAACCATCTTCTTCTCTTGACACGAGCTGAAACCAACCAACGAATCCATTCCTGGCGCAAAACTCATCCAGCAGAACTTTGTTTTCGATTAATTTCCCGGGGCCGATCCAATCAACAGGTTTACCCCGTTTAGACGTTGGAATGTTTTCTATAATAAGAACCAGAGGTATATTGGCGTCTTTTGGGTTCGCTTCTTTGATCTTTTCGCCCCACTTTAAAACACTGCCAAGAGGAGATGGGCTCTTTGGTCCCCAGAACACCAATGCGCCGACGCAGTTCCTACAAAACACACTTGTCATCTTGAGAAAGCGTTCATGTTCGGCGACATCCCAAAATTGCAGTTTCACAGTGAAGTCTTGATTCGTTGTCTGGTCGCTCCATGTAATAAAATTTAAGTAAAAATCGACTCCGATCGTCGGCTTGTGATAAAAGCTTAGCGGCCGACGATGTATATAATCCGACACAAAGCCTCCCTTCTTTCCAAAGCCCGTGTAGTCTCCAACACACATTATCTTGAAAGTGAAATCCGTCTCTCTAGATTTCATTTCTTGAAAAATCTCTTCGTCTCTCCGCACAATCGCAGCATCGCTGGCCATTCCCGAGTCCGTTTCTGTGGCCATAAAACTTTCACTTCGCTGAAGCTCAGTATCCGACATATTATATACTTTCCCGTGCTTAAGAGAGATCTTTATCAAACATCAACCACGCAATGTAGTATGCAACTTGTATCGCAGTTAACAAATGGACTGAAACGTTCTGCGATGACGGAAATCTGATACTACAGGAATTGTGTGTCACGTCTCGAATTCATGCCCTTCATCACCTTCTTTAGATATCATTCTTATATCACCATAAAAGTCAAACATTGCCGACTTATTAAAGATATTTGGTCTCTATGAATGGCGTTTTAAAATAATTTCGCGTGTTGCAAGGAAGAACCCAGCTAAATGTTCAAGAACGCGTATCAGTGCAACTCTGCAATTCTACACGCAACAGCACTTGAAATTTTGTGAGGCTTTCAAAGCAGAAACCCTTGAATCGTAAACACTAAATATTTAATATACGTGGAGGTGTTTATGGCTCACGTCCAAGTATTGATATTTAACGAGACGCTCTCGTTTCCAAGAAAACATGCGCTGTTAAGCCTTCCTCTCATTGTGTTTCAGAAAATCCGTCGATAATCGGAAGAAAATCCGACGATAAGTAATGTTTTGAAATCTTTCTATTAAAAATAATTCAATTCATACTTCATTTTTTTTCTTTCAACGTGCAAATAATTTTTATTTCATCTCAAATTGTTTAATGTTTTTTCCGATCTTCTGTTAAAATGTTTACACAAAATATAACAGGTACTTAAATGAAAAACGTTCATTGTCGAAGATCAATTTTATCCCTAGTGGAAAATTTTGAAATGTATCGCGATCCGTAGGAGTCGAGAGTTATTAACGATATCCTTTCCCGTACGGAATATTAAAAATTCCAACACTTTTTTAAAATGTAGGCGTTGTAGTTCCGTCGGTATAATACTGTCGCAGAGACCAAATATTACCGGTTATGAAATGATATGAATAAGCATATTGCTTGACGATGACAGGTTACATCCCAAAATAAAATTACATTGTTGACGTCTTTTTTGTCAGAATCTTATTTTTTTTTCTTTATCTTACATCATCATTCCGATTTTATGACTCGCTCTGCTTTCGACTACAAAATATTTTTGAAAAATTCAAATGTCTTTCCACGTTCCACTAAGTTCCTCATTGTTTGAAAAATTTTACAGGTGTATAATTATCGCACAGAGAAAAAAGGAAAGAAGACCTTCTAGCGTCGACAGCCAAGTAAATCAATTTGCTAAGGGCAATACATGATTTGATGGAACACAGCAGCCCATTACTTGAGTAATGGGCTCCTGTGGCACATCATTCGCGTTATCTATTGACCCACAATTTGCGTGCAATTATTTCAAGACATTTCCAGATATTTTCTTTATTACCATCATGTCCATTTCTCTGTCCGTGCCTGCAAAAAAACTTTAGGCTAATCCAATTTCCTTAAAAACTTAAGTACCTTTTTCAGACTAATTTCTGTTTTCTTTATTCGACGACGGAACTAAAAATTTACCATCGTTCTCTCACTCTATAAACATACTTCGTGATTTCAACTTAGCTGATCTTAGCATTATTCAGAACGCTGGCATTATTCAGAATGCGTGAAGCTAATAGTGACTTGGTTCACCACAGAATTCCCTGAAGCTCGTTGGCAGGGCCTCAAAGCCAAATATCTGGAAGTCTGAGATTTGATTCAACGTAGAAGACCCAGACGATGTCCCTTCCACGCTCTTGGCAACCAACACTCTAAAATTTCCTTTATTCTAGCCTGCAGAGCAGGCGTAATTTTAGCGAGCGAGTGCCCTGTATTTTTCGAGGTGAAAATTATAGCTGCCCTCTTTGATATCTACAGCTGTAAAAGGCTGGGCAGAGTAAGAAATTTGTACCAAGGGAACGAGCGACGGTCACTGAGAAAGGAGAGGGAAGGGGGTGGGCCTTTCCCTTCCCCCTCCCCTCACCGTTTACTCTTACTCTTATCAAACATGACCCGCCCAATCCGATAAACGATCACAAGCTTGCAAAACTAACACGCTCCAGTAAGACGTCTGCACTACAGGCTTCCTTTTTTTTTCTCGATTCACGATTTTTTTCAAATCTTTCTCTCTGTTTCATTTTTTTTGTAGGGTTTTAGAAATTAGTCAATTTAGTGTACATATTCCCATTCTTTTCAACAATTCAATAGAATATGAAAGATGATAGATTTTGAGCTCGTTGTTATAAAGAAAAAGGTCTTTTCGTCTTGTCACGATCGTGGGAAAAACAAAAACGAAATCCTGAGCACCCATGAGGAATCGAACCTCAGACCTTCGGAGCATCAGAACGCGAAAGGGAAAGGTCTAACTCTAAATGAGTACGGGCTTCAATTCTTTGCAGGTGCAAACTATGCACAACATGTTCTTTAATACGGTGGGTAAGGACAAGTGTTTTTTAATGTTTTGGGGGCATTTGCGTCTGAACCTTGAAAAAAATTATGTGCGAATCACTTTTTTTTAGTTTTGACGGATCTAGACCTGATTTTTCGTCCGTGTAAACAGTATTTCAGGGACGATTCCTCACGGGAATACCGACTTTGATATTTGTACCACGCTTCTGACAAGACGAAAAAATATCTCGCTCCCTACGGAACCTGTGTAATAGGAAACTAAGCACTCAGTGAACCATTATTTACGGAAAGGTACCTTACATGTCCCTATACCTTTAGTTCTACTGTCATAGCACACAGGCTGTCACCCTGACGATTGCGGAGAATGTTGGGAAGAACGCAGAAACATTCGCACTTCCCTTTATGCAACGCGCTCCGATCAAATCTTTCTCAGGATCGACCTACAACTTGTAACTAAACCTTGGCTGAAAACATTGGTCTTTGAAATTTTTAATGCATACAAAAAAAGTTTTTGTTCCTTTTTGTAATATTTCCAGCAGTTTGCGTAACTGGCGTTTCTGTGTGTGCTTTGAAGCGTTTAGCGGTTTTGCCAAGGGAGGCTTTGTACGGTTTCTCCACTCAAATTTCGCGGTTGCGCTGTGTAGATTTTCCCAAAGCGCCAAATAAAAAAATAATTAAATAAATAAAAAATTAAAAAAAAAAAAAAACGACGCCGGAAACGCAGGCTAATTCGGTACTAATCCCGGCAGAATACTACAATAGAATTTCCTATTTAGAAATTCCATGTCCTTACTTTATCATCATGTCATATATTCTAAGCTGGAATTTAAGGAAAACTTTAACCTATCATATTTATTGAAATACTGACTTGGTTGAAATTACACTGTTCTCTTACAAACTCGCATTGATTTAAGAATGAAAATGTAAGCTCTTATTTTGCCATTACCCTTACTTAATTATTTCTTAACCTGTCATTGTTACATACGATGTCCCTTTTAACAAATACGGTTATAGACCACGGTAATGAGTTGATTTATAATTCAGAACTATTATTCTAGTGTGTTCTCCAAATGTTGATAAACTTAGAATATTTCTGTAGCATTAAAACATGATTTTCTGATGGGTGACTTTTTTCCACCAGAGATAAGAAAAAGTAACCTGATTCTGTACTCTAGACAGCTCATAAATTCTTGCTTTTTTCTCATCTTCTTTTAATTTTCTTGTTCTATCTTTATCTGTCTGTCGTATGGCTTGTGCTGTCATCTGTGGGCTTGTCCGGCGAGGAATTATTCGTCGCAGATTTTTGAGTATCGTCACCTTCGACCGACAGTTCCTCTGTTGTTACTTGACCAAGGAAGTCACTTGTTTTGAACACAGCTGGTGCTTTCCAGTCTGAGAAATTTTTCTCTTGCTTTGTAGGACCCTGAGTCATCTGAAGACGAAAAGGCAAAACAGAAGCTTACCCTGCTGACTTGACGGAATTTTTTTCTTTTGTTGTTTTTCTGAAGGGGGGGGGGGGGGGGGGGGGGGGGGGGGGGGGGGGGCGAGGAGCAAGCGCAAGGTGAATGTGAGCGTTAAGCCCCGATCAAACAATAATGATAATTGATAATAGCCGACGCTAGTTTCAACATTTAATCACTGTCATTGACTCTCATGCTTGCATTCTAACGGTTAATGATAGTTGACAAAATCACGCTACAAGATCGCGTAGCTGTAAAAAAAGTTTAGCGCGCGCTGAGGTCTGCAATTTTGATGGCATTTGGAATTTTAGTCAAGAAGTTGTGAGTTGAAGATACTGAAGCCTGCCAGGAGACGATAAGAATGAACTGCTGGACATTCTGCGCAATTTTGAGGGCTACTTTAGCCATTTTACCACCTGCCATTTCGGTTTGAACCCGTTTTTGGCAAAACCGCTGACTAAAAAACAATCGTGCAGTCTCATCAACTCTCATGTCGAATTTTAATATGTTCAAACCAAATGATAGTTGATGATACTCGATGATAGTGTATGACAGTTTGTGTTCAAAGGCGCGTGATAGTTGAAACTATCATCAACTATCGTGACCGTTTGAATAGGGTTTAAGAAGAATAGCTCCTCCTCTCGGGGGTGAATGGCGCTCGTCTTCGCCTAACCTGCGATGGGGCTTTGTCTTTTCGGGATTGGGAAAAGAATGCTTGATCGCAGGTCAGTCTACGCCCATCTGGCGAAAGGCAAGCGGAGACAAGCACGAGGTGAGCGCGAGATGAACACCGAGGGTGAGTGTTTACATATATTGGCATGCCTTGTCATAGAATACATTCAGCTTCAAACTCACCTGTCTAAGTCCTGGTATGGATTTTAGGACTTTTTGAATTTTATGACTTCCAAGTTCCCTTTCCGCTGTTGACACACTTTCCTCCATTTCATCCACGTTTTTCTTGACTGCATTTACAAAAGCCTTAGTAGGACACATCAAACAAGGTTTAGTACAGACTGAATGCACACAGGTTACAGGTTACAGGTTCACCTCTCTTGTAAAGTGATCCATCTGGACAGAGGTTATTTTGGGTTGGACAGCATGAAGTGACTGAGAGTATCACTAATCCCCCCCACATGGGCTGCTAGTCCGTCAGAAGTTACCCACAAGTATTTCTATCCTTCCCCTGATGGGATGCCAGTCCATCACAGGTTACCAATCAACATTGTGTTAATTTTTCTTAATATAACGAAAGTCTGAGCATTCACTTTCCACATGATAAATAATCATTGACAAGGCAAACCCTAAGAAAAACTAAAATGTGGAAAAATATTTTAATTTATATTTTTCAAAATATTACCCTTCACAACAGCACCATAAGGAAGGTTAAATCTTTAACTCCAATAAGTGACCAAGACAGAATTTCATTAGCAATACAATATTGAGAAAAGTGATGAGAATAAAGAAAAATATAAATTGAGGAATTAATAGCTGATTGATCCAATACCAAATTCTTCAAACTTTCATCATAAGAATTGTATGGCAGATGGTTAGGAGAATTACTCATGAGATCTTAGGAGTAAAAGGTCAAAAGTTCTACATATATGATACAAGTTGTCTGTACCTCTAGTTGATCAATCTTTCTGAAGATTGTTGGAAGTTCCTGAGATGTTTCATAAAGTTGTGGAATAATTTCTATCAAGGATTGTGAGGAATCATTGCGTATCTGTATGTAAAGAAAAATTAATACAAAGAGATCTTCTTAAAATAAGTTTTTTTAATAACTATCATATCATTAATTGCATGTAAGCCATCTACAGTTCTTATAAGTGACACTATTAGAAGTAAAGTGTAACCAAATATTTGTGTAGTAATAAAAATAAATTATTGCATGTAGGGATGTTCAAACATAGAATCCAGTACAAGTAGGTCATAAAAAAGCAAATTAAAGCTATAATTTAATGTAATTACAGAAAGAAAGGTACTAGTGTTGTAAGTAAATTTTAAATGATTAAAAACAACAATCAAATCATTATCATAGGAGAAGAGAAAAAAAAACTTCATGAAACTTTGTTAAATTGGTACAACAACCTGAATGCAAAAAGTCAGCAATTTCATGATAAAAACTAAATCACACAGGTTTTTTCAAGGATGCACTAAATCACTCATCAAAACATTTTCTTAACCAACAATTTCTGGAAAATTGCTTGCCTAGTTAATTGACATAAAAAGACAAGTTTGAGTTGAAAGCTTGAAAGGTTTGAACTGGCAATTTACATGTGCGTATTTACACATAACTATTGATGAAGATGTGCCAATTTCTGTCACTTGGAGATGAGAAAAGGACATGTCTGTGTGGACTTTGGTAATGGATACCAAATGAAACCCTGAAACTAACTACTTTCCATACATACACCGAGTTTAAGAACAACCAACTAGCGGGCAACCTTCTGCAGTTCCCTTTGCATTAATTACCCACAGGTCTTTTTTTAATTATCTCTAATAATCCTTCCCAACTAGGAAGGGTTCCAAAAATTGCACGATCACTCAATAAGCTCGTGCGTGTGCGTTGTACATAAGGGTGTCAGCAAGTCAATTCTCACATAACGATCACAGAATAGTCAAGCAGCCCCCGATAAGGACGTCATCACAACATTTGTGAATTAAAGACAATATGACTGCTCAAAAGCACCAACCATGTGGGACGAAAAAAGTCTATTAACATCGAAACATGAAAGGACATGAAGTTTTGAACCGTTAAAACCTTTGAAAACGTGATTTCTTCTGAGATCGGACTTTTTACTCCGAAAGATGATCAAGAAAAGAAAAAATACAGTTAAAGAAAAATGGAAACACATTCTAATTCCCTATCAGTCATGCGCCTCAGAAGAAACAATATTCTGTGAATATATTACACAGACAAATGAGCATCCCTTAAGAAGAAAGCGTACGGAAAATAACAAACATTTTCAGACCACTTACCGAGTCAGCTAGATGAGAAAATTCGTCCAAACGAACAAGCATATCCTCGATGGTTTCCTCGATAACTTTAGACTAAAAATAGATCAATACATATGTGGTAAGATCCAAATTCTCTCTTGTCACACAATTTCTAGGAGACCATAATTATCTCTTTCAAATATTTCACAAACTGAGTCATCAGTGGGTACGATACCTCATTCTTTACATCAACTTGACAATATTGCGCAAATTCTGCAGCACATTTTCCCACATCAAGCTCTACTTCGTCCTCTCTTTTCTCGATTTCTGAAGGAGCTTTTTCTTCAACATCCGCCATTTTAAAATTGAAAGGTCGGATTATGAGCCGAATTCACCTTGACCAGCGGAAGCCTGAAAGAGGGAAACGTTGGACAACGTTTCTGTTAGCAGTTGTAGCTTCGAAAGGTGGCAAGTTTCAATCTGCGTAAACCGCGAACATCTTTACCGCCAAAATGGTATGTATAACTCTTTAAGTCTCCTTCATGATCCTCTTTCAGCTAGGTCTCATTATTTTTACATCTTTTCTTCAGACGGTGGGAAAGAGTTCGAAGATGCTTCAGCATATCAACTACCGAATGCGGTGCACATTGCAAGATGGCCGCAGTTTTATAGGGACATTTTTAGCTTTTGACAAGCATATGAACATTATTTTAGGAGATTGTGATGAATTTAGGAAAATAAAACCTAAGAGCAGCAAAGCACCGGAACGCGAGGAAAAAAGAGTTCTTGGTTTGGTTTTATTGCGAGGAGAGCACCTTGTTTCATTGACAGTCGAAGGACCTCCATCATCAGATGTAAGTTGGGTTTATTGATTTACCTCATGTGATTAAGTAAAAATTAATGTTAAAGAAGATTTTTTATCTTGAAAAGTTTATATTAGGACACAACACAATTCCATAACTGGTGTTAACTTGCAGTAGGGTGATTAGATTAATTTTGTGATTGATGATGTGATGCAAAGAATTCACCTCTAGAATTGCCCAGTCTGCTGAGTATGGCAGAACTTGACAAGATCTTGTGCCTGCAAAGGGGATTCTTCTATGTGAGATGTATGGTTAGAAAGGAATAAATCACATGTGCATCTGCCATACTCAGCAGACGGGAAAACTGAGTTAGGGTCAGGAGAATTACACACAAGGCTTTAAACCAGGTTCATATACAATAACCCACCTGCATATTACAAGAAAATTCAATGTCAGGAGCTTTTCATTCTTTGTTTGAAATAGTGAGCTTGAGTATTAAATGAAGAGAGGACAAAAAAGTGGTAAAATTTCTGCACAGCTCCATACTATATTATGCATTCAGTTCTTGGATAGAGAAAAGATTGATAAAAACAATAGATTGCCTTAGGGAAAACAGATTTGTTTTTATGGCTGTGTGGAAATTTTACCAAAAAAAGCAACATATTTAGTAATCAACCACTAAACTCAAGTTTATCATCTTTTTTTGACTGACTTTCTGACTCATGAACTGAACAGTGAGGAAGTCAATTGTGATTCATTAGTTTCAATATGTTGGTGAATTTGGCTTCTGTTTGTTACCTTGCTGGTTTTGTAATGATACTGGCAAGGGTTTTTTACCCTAACACAGGGTCTCTGCGAAATCATGTTTAACTTTCAACCACTTGTTGACCTCTGAAGATATTTTTTCCTGTTTGTTTAGTCAAAATCCAAACTGCTAGGGGCCAATGCTGCTCCTGGCACCGGAATGGGTCGTGCAGCTGGACGCGGAGTGCCTGCTCCTTTAGCACCAACAATTGCTGCACCACCAGGTTTGTGTTTTTTCTGATTAAGTTGTTGTTGAGCAGGGGATCTCTGATGAGTTACAGAGTGATCTGCATCATCTGCCTTCTGTCTTTCTCTCTGAATCTCTTTCTTAAGCAGGACAGTAGACTCAGTGATGTTGAGATGTGCCCATTGAATTTTCTAACATAATTATAGTCTTATTACCCTCAGGAGCTAGCACCATGCAATTTTCTCATACTCCAACCACACAGGGCTGAAAGAAAAGTGAAGAGGAAAGAAAGAAAGGAAAATGTCCATCAGAATATATAGTCTGTGCTAAAATAAAAGATAGTTCAGGGCGTGAAATTAATCTTTTTTCTGATAGCTACTTGGCTCCTAAATTCTTCATCTAGTAGCCAAGTGAAAAAAAGTTGGTCGCCATTTTCAAAGACAAACAAAAACCTTCTATTAAGCTGTCAGCGTTCTAGATAGACCCTCCAAAATTAAGTTTGGGAAAAGATCTTTAATGTGCTACAAAGTGGACACTAGGATGGAGGATATACAACATTAAAGCTCCCTTAAATCCAAGGTGGCGTCTAGTTATCAATTGAGATGCATGTGTTGCGTTTTGGAAACAAACTTAATGAGGAAGTTTGCTGTGGATTCATCTTTGCAAATCTTTTTAATTCACTATATCTCTAGGTAAGGTTATGATGAATTTTGAATTTGGTGACTAATTTCCAGGATTTGGCCACCAAAGTGAAAAATTTAGTTGCATTGGCACCTGTATAAGGCGCAATTTCACGCCCTGTAGTTTGACAGCTTGTTTGGAAAACTGTTTTTAAGAATTTTCAACTGAAAGGGTTATTCTACATTGCAGGACTTGCTGGACCTGTGAGAGGAGTGGGTGGACCAGCAGCTCAACTTATGACCCCACAGGGAAGAGGAGCACCTGGTGGTATGTGTTATATTTTGAAGTTTGTACAGTTCAGGTAGTCTGGTTTAGAGTCCAGAGGATAAGAAGCAACACCAAGGTCAAGCAGCTAGTTTCCTCAGCAGGATTTTGTGAGGGAGAGTTTCAGGGTAAATGCTCACAAAAAAATGGGGTCTGGAAGGAATTAATGAATCTTAATTAGCCATAACTGCATTGCATGCATAAACAGGAACAGTAGAGTCAAGTATTGCTCTCAACTTTCCTATCTATAGTTCTTGATCTTAGCTCAATGTTGCAGTTTCTTTTTATCTCTGGCTTAATTGTCTGACTGAAGTAATTTTAAATTTGGATTTAATGCTCCTTTCTTGTATTAATTGTTGCACTCTATTTTTGCAGGTGGTCCACCACAACAAAACCCACCAGCATCAGTACCCAGTTCAATGCCTGGTCCCCCAGGGGGGGCAATGGGAGCACCAATGAGAGGTCCACCCCCACCCAGACCACCTATGGGGGGAGTGCCTCCAGGAGGTATGTATTATAGGAGAAGTAGGGGAAAACTGGAATAACTTAAGTAGTAAATGTTCTTGTTTCCTTTTGGGTAGAAGCCGTTAGGCCTGTTTCTCTTAACCCTTTCACTCCCATGAGTGACTAAGACAGAATTTCTCCTTTCAATATCAATACAGTATCAAGCAGACAAGTGATGAGAATGAAAAACTAATATATAGATTTAGCCAAGCCTAAAAGCGGAGTTCGCATTTTTTTTTTCCCCGCACGTCTCAACACCTTGCCTTGGCCAGGACTAGAACCCCAGTTGTCCGACTCGGAGCCTAGTGCACTGACCACTGGACTATTGGACAAAGCTGTGGCGTTGGTGTGCCCGCAGTACAGTTGACCATGCATGACATCCAAATTTTTTTGGCTTGATGGGTTACTACTATTTTGTATAATTATGGGGCTACGCAAGCTCCGCTATTAGTAAGGGGAGTATAAATTGATCCAATACCAAATTCCTCAAGCTAACATCACAAGAACTGTAAGGAGAATTACTAATGAATAATAGTAAAGAGAATTACTAATAAGGTCTTGGGAGTTATAGGGTTAACTGTTCAGTTTGCCTCTTTCTCAAAGAGCTGTCTGCCAGTCATTTTTTTACAAATGAAAATTCCATTGTTGTCCACCTCCAAAGTATGTATATTATTCCAAATCTTGTTCTAATATTTTATTCCTGTTATTGATTTACTTACTTACTTTGATTTCCAGGCCCTCCAGGAATGCCTATGAGAGGTCCCCCTCCAGGTATGCGGCCTCCAGACATGGGTCCTCCAGGAAGGGGCATGATGCCTCCCGGTATGCCTCCCCCTGGCATGATGCCACCAGGGATGAGAGGGGGACCCCCAGGGAGAATGCCACCACCAGGTCTTATGGGTAGAGGTAAGGAACTCAACTTTGATAAGTACAGTTGTAGTGCTTTTTTTTTCCCCATGTAACATCTCCTCACACTGTGAATACTTTATTAGCAAATATGTTGTTGAAATAGACAAACTTATCAGATGGTGGGTGTTATTTTGATGAATTGCCCAATTCTCCTAACATACTCATGCAGAATTGTATGACCACTGGAAGGAGGAATGATGATTTAATTTTGAGAATTGGTGGGTAGATAAGTCACTCAGTCCCCTTCACTGACCAACTGTTGGTAATGAAGTTTTTCTACATGATACATTTATAGGTATTTTAGGTTACCAATATTCTGATTGAGCCGGAAGATTTATTGTGATCCAGTATGTAATTGTGTACACTGTTTTCATAAAGAAATAGTAGAAGTAGAATATTTTTAAGTAATTGTAATGTTCTTCACCAGAACAATTCTCCAATAAAAAGTATTTTTTGGATTTTAGATAAAGGTTTTGTTGCCCCATACTTGTATAACACCAGTTTTTCTGAACTTTTTTTAACTTAACCCTTAAAATTTCTCTGTTCAATATCACCCCTGAATCAAGCTCAAGGTCACAAGTGTGAAGGAAGTAATCACTAACTAAACAAGCCCTTGATTGCTAAACAAATTCTCTTTTTCAGCACCAAGTAGGAAATGTATAGTAAATAGTATGGAGAATTTTCATACTGATGTTAGGATGTAAATGGTTAAAGTCATTAACTAATATGTATTTGTATTCCTACTAGGTCCACCTCCTGGAATGCGACCACCACCACGCTAAAGTGAAATATTTAAAGTTTGTTGCATCAGCTGTAGTTAAAAAAAAAAAAAAACAACTAATGAACCATGTCGACCATCTGAGATAAGAACCTTGGGCAAAAGGCATAATTGATGTTGCTTGACCACTTCGTTGGAGATGAGTCTTAGGGCACCCACTTCACAACATCAAAAGGAATTTTTCGTTCAATTCTTTGTTACTTTTGTAAATATTTGAATTTTGAGTACTTTCGTAGTATTAAAGTGTCCTCAATCCAAATGATTTTTGTCAAATGTACTAATTCAATATTGTTATGACATTTTTATCGACACCACTAGTTCAAAAAAACACTTTATCTCTTCCTAGATCGAAAATTTGAAACCACGATTGTTTAAGGGTGCTTGTCATTAGCCAGAACCGACAGTTGTAACATTCAACTCATGACTGTGAGTTTTAAACTTTTAACAATAAATCGATTTTTTCAAGTAATGCTGATCAATGATGAATGAATTGTAACGAAACGAAGAAAGAATGAGATGAATACTTGGTCAGTTCTGACTATTGAAAAGCCCCCTTGAGTTTTAACATGAAAATTCTGTGGTTCGTTCCACATTATGTTGATCCTGGAGAGAAGACCAGTTTTACTATTCCTCGCAAATCATTTAGGGTGCTGAATCTGCCAGTTATCAAGTAGATTCTACCAAATTAATCTCATCCATCAAGCAAGTTATGGCTTGCTCGAAAACCTGCCCGTCCCAGTCACGCGCTTTCATCTCATACCACGAAATGAAACCCATCTCGCGACAAAACCGCTGCAAAGTTGTCACGCTATCAAACATCTTTCCACTTCCTATCCAATCCAAATTGTTCGAATTAAACGTTATAAGCACGAGAGGAACTCGCGAATTTGCAAGCTTGTTAATTGATTTAACCCATTTTTTGACCTCTCCTAATGATGCCGGATATTCAGGCGTCCAAAACACTATACTTCCGTGACAAGAGTCAAAATTGAATCCCTTGTAAACTTCAAGATCGATATCGTAAATGGCTGCCGATGATTGTTCCTTATTTTCCGATGACGATTTGATCTTCTTTAAATGGATATCCATGCATACGGTCAGTAAACGAGACCCTTTAGGAGGCGTGCGGCAGAAATGCTCGTTCACGAATAGATTTTCTTTTCCTGTGAGAGTTCCAACACACAGCAGTACCACTGCTTTGTCTTGTTTAGTAGAACTTTCACTTTCGGGAGCAAGGTTCGTTTTAAATGTCTGCATCTCCACATCTTTGCCCAATGTCGCCAAAAAGTTTTCGTCGACTGCTTCCGGAATTTCGTACTTGGAACCTGTAGCTGTCATTGTGCCGGAACGAAGATGAACGTCTTCATAAATTTTTCTCTGAATTAAATCAGCCCAATTTCACTTTCGGGGTAGAAGTTACGCTTCCGTTTATCCATTCAGAGACTATCATCGATTTTAGAAATTACCGAAAATAGTCTCATATCACTGAAACAAACCAGAGATGCTTTGCAGTTATATATCAAGGAAAGTAAATCCAGAGATGAGTCACGAGACTATCATAACATGTCACAGTCACCCCAGGTATGGCTGTGGTTGTCAGCCGTGTTTTGGTCTCATCACGCAACGCGTTCTTCTTTCTCCATTTCCAAATAAAGGGACATATAGTCTCTTCGCAGCTATTTCTTTGGATGTGAAGTAACGCGTGAAGGAGATTAGGGAACAAGTGGCTTGCCAGAGAGTCTCTTCTGCTGAGTCTGCGTCGAGATTTCAAGGATGTCGGGCTTTGAGTAGGAGTCCTCTTCCATCCTCATTAATAAATATGCCGCAGAATTCCGACGGGTGTAGAAACGTAACCCTGTTCATTGGAAGCTAGTTACGTAATATTATCCTAAGTTTCACATGCAATATCTCCAGATTTAATGATCCCGCTGCCTAGATTTTTAGCATTTCGAAAATTGATATTCAAGGCGCCATGTTGTAAGGAATTTTCGGCCCTCCCAACTCCCCTTGGGTGGTGCAGCTTGCGCTTTCGCACCAAATTGCTAATTGTCTCGGCCACAAGAAGTAGTGCATGAAGATGGATCACTATCCCCTTCAGGAGAGTTCACATGCAGGCAAGAAGCTGGATGAGCCTTGCAGATGGAAGCTTCTCAAAGGGCCAAAGGCTTGTCATTAATTTTCGTCAGAATTGTCGTTCAGTTAGAAAGTGATACGAAAATACAGCCAATAAATTGGGGCCGCACTGATTGATGGATTCCCTACATGGAGCACTAAGCTAGAGGTGTTAGTATTTTCGCTTTCATGACGCAAATTAAATTAAATTTGTCTCATACTGTTTCATACAGAACTGTGAGTTAAAGCAGAGAGTCCTCTGTGTTTTTCTTTATGTTTAAATAATGTACCCTTGATTTTATTTATCGTTGCGCTAAAATCAATTCGTTAATTATTCTTTAAACCTCTTAGTGCACTTGTCAGATTCGTTCCTCGACCCCAGTACTTTTCTTCCGCAGGCCCCCAGGGATTGAGATTCTTGAATCTATGCGCAATCGGCAGAGTAAAGCAAAGCAGAACTGTGAAGCAGCTTCTTCTATACATTTAAAGGTTAGTGTTTTCACCTTCTGTTACTATAAATGTTTAGCTTTGTATATCTCAACCTGGTACTTGTTGTGACAAGACAAGAAATCGGATCAAGAGAGATAGTCCCTGAGTCGCCATTTTGATGCCGAAATAGCGCGTGCTTTCGCTTGAAACTTTTATGGCATTTTCCAAATTCCCGGTGGGCGGCTACGGTCTTGAATAGACTTTCATGAATGTAATAAATTGTTTGGCAGTCAGTCATTTTCACTTAATTTCCACTGAAAGGTTCTTGGTATTTTGAAACTTCTTAGGATGTATCGGATTGTAAGCCCTCGTGACAGAATGTATGAAAGCGAGGAGAGCCAGAAAAGGCAGGAAGTCAGGCCACCAGAAGTGGAGAGGTAGTTCACAATCGCTGTGTAACCGGAAAAGTGTTGAAACAACTTAAGGTAATTCAAAGTGAATTGCTTTATATGTATGTGAATTTTTGGCCTTTGGCCAAGGGCGGTACTCAAAACAGAGGTCATGGTTTTTGGAAATACATAGGACCTAGGCTGGTGAAGAACTTTTTTATTTGTTTCCTCAACTGGATGAAATACTGGCTGAAAAGATTGGGAATGATTTAGGGCTATAATTACAGCAAGATTTTCCATGAACTGAGCAACTTTTTAACAAATAGACAGTAAAATAGAGGTAACTTGAATTAAACAATGGCATCACAGAAACTTTTTTTTTTTGCAATTTAAAAGGCTTCCATGCAAACTTTGAAACACTTTTTATGTAGGTCACAATCTGACACCTGTCAGTTAGAGAGCAAAAAAAAGTGCATGAACAACAGTTTGCAAACAGACTTGAGTTAATGTCTATCACTATCTCCATTCTAATGGTCAATAGTCTTATGGAAAGTATTATTCACCTCCATTGACAATAAATCTCCAAAGATTTACCTTTGTTCAGTTTGAAATGGCTAGGAAAGTCTTTGTAAAGTAAACTCAAATGTATGTGTAGAAGTTGTGAGAGTTGTTTGTTCATTTGCTGAAATGGTGTGTGCAAATCTTGTCTTTCTTCCTTCATAAACTGAAGTCAAATGAGATACTTTTCCTAGTTAGATGTAAGGGAGATTTAATGTTGCTTTTACTTAAGAAATTCTTTTTTTTTCTTTTGTACAATTTACGATAGAAAATGTAAATGTAATGATCATAATTAACTTAATTATATTTTGCCAATACATATCAGAGGCTGGAGGCTGGTGCAAGGTGCAGATAGATAGATAGATAGACTGTTTATTCACAAATACATCACAGTCATTAGACTGAATTGCTTATTTCACAGAGAAATATATAAATAGGCAAATGTCAAAACTAATCACAAACATATGTACATGATATAAAAATATAAGTATCTAATGGGATTAAAGTATGTATAGTTACTAGCTAAGTACTAAGCGTTGTTTGTTGCTAGGCATCTTTGGACATTGCATACACAAAGGACTGTCTAAAGTGGTCTGTGCGCAAGCGTGGTAGATTATATGTTCTCTGTTGTCGCAGGCAGTAGCTTTGTTCATTTCTTGGGGGCAGTAAGTTGTGTAGTTTATGCCCCGAGTTGTTGGCGATTGAATCAAAGAGTCATTTACATAGTTCATTGCGTCTCTCTTTTAGCGTTGGCAGGCCTAGTCTGTCCAAGCAGTCCTGATATGACATATCTGGGAGAATTATGGAAAGAACTCTTGCATAAAGAGTAATTGGATCATAGTTTGTAAGGTTAGGTTGTTAGTAGGGTGAGGCATTTTGCGGTCAGCCTTCATTGTGTTAAGTTGTTTTGTTTCATTTTTGTTTGAGCTTATTATTATTTTTTACCTAAAATATCATATTTGCATCAGGTTTTACTTAGAGCTGTACTCCCATACTTCCTCAAGTAGCTGTTATCTACTTGCCTTGGGTTATATATCTTCAGCTTAGGTAAGACTGTTTCCTCTCTCAACATAACTAAATCTGGTAAGAACAATTCCAGACAACAACTGACCACAAGGATTTCCTAGTAATGATTTATTGTAAAAATAAAGATAAAAGAAATGGAGTTTGAAACAACATTCTGATCATATTTGGGGCATTGCACAGTTAATTTCAAATAGATTATTTCAATGAGATTGTGTTGAGCATGGGATGTTTGCTGCCCATGCTTCATCTTTTTCTATTTTTACAATGGCAACATCTTTTGTGGTCCATACAACAAAAAGACATAATTTTCTATGCGAGAAGTACATCTCCCCCCTGTATTTGGTGCCAATACATATGGTCTTTCATAAGTTCATAGCCTAGCCCACTCCCACCATGCTGCTGACTTAACAGCCTCTTCTATTGAGACATTTCTTTCTGTATATTGGCACTTCACTTCCAGAACAATTTTATTATCAACACCATCCTGAGATGTCCCAAGGATTCCAAGGGGAATGGAACCAGATGCCTGTTTCTTTGACTGTCTTACCAGTTCTGAGGGTGAATGCTTTGATAGTTTTCTCTTCATTGTCCACCCCCACTGCACTGTTTTGACTCTTGATAAGTTGTACTCTCCTAGGAGTGGCTTCAGAGGGGATGGAGTGATTCTAATTATCTTTAGGACAGAGCCCAAATTACTGGTTGTAAGTTGACCCTTTCTTGTGATGTGCTAAGCAGGATTGTCTCTTTGGCCAACTGTTGGTGGCTGATCCTCAAAATTTCATCTTCATCTTATTTAGTTATGCAAATCAAACAGTCCAGCTGTTGTTGGATCCCTCTAGCCTGAGGAAATTCCTCAGAGACCATAATTTCCTCAATAGAAGGCATGGGTAGCATGCTGACTTTAAGAGGCTTAGGGCTGAGCAGCCAACAAAGTTCAGTAAACCTTCCATATTTTTTGAGGTCCTCATACAGCGCAGCTTAATCATCATGTGTTAGCTTCATTAACAAAGTGCAGTAGATCTAGGCAGAGTAAATAGTTGAGAAACCACTTGATTTGAAAGTGATTGGTCGCACTCTCTTCTCTTCCACCATCAATGACTGATAGAAATGGCTTTTATTTGATAATTCTTTATTTTGACCAATAGAAAAGAGAAATGTATACTGTCATGTGTCATTTGGTCTAACAACACAGGGGAGAGATCAAAACGGTGATTAACATGTTTGTAAGTTAATCACTCACTAATGATAATCTTAGGAAGGTTTCCTTAAAAAGACCCCCCCCCCCCCCCCACCCCAGCTTTTAAAATGAAACCATAAAACAAAACCATTAAATAAAGGTAAGGTTGTAATTATGCATTTTCTGTATTTGAAAGCACATTTTTAGAAAAAAATAAATTCATTGGTGAATGAATGGAAACTTTATTTAAAACACGGTAAAAATATCAGTATGACAATAGAAAACAAAGGAGAAATTTATCTTAAGTAAAATTTTCTATTAACTGGTTTACATATTTGCCATGTGGGAGTCCGATACAGAGAGCCATTTATCAGTTCTTCTCTTGAAGTTGCGTAGAGATTTTGTAGTGTGTATATCCTCAGGAAGATCGTTCCAAAGAGAAGCTCCGCTATAACTGAAGCTATGCTTCAGGTAGTCAGTTCTTGGTTTCGGCAAGTACATTTTTGACTTGTGTCACAAAGATCAAAGGGCAGAGTTCTCGTAGTGAACATGTTACAAAGATAATTTGGGGCGAGCTTATTATCGCATTTGTACATTAAATTTGCCTTTTGCTTCGTCCTTCTGACTGATAAGTTATCCCAGCTGAGAGAGTTGAGAAGATAGCTAGAGTTCATATTATAACTTGATTTAGTAATTACTCTAGCAGCGCGATTTTGTAGTTTTTGTAGTCTCTCACACAGCTGCTGAGACAAGCCATCCCAAACAACACTGCAGTAGTCAAAATGTGGTTAGATAAGACCTTTATATATTTTGATAGCGGTATGCAAATTTATGCACTTTGGTACTTATTACGATAAGAAATCTTCCACTGATCGTTGAGTTGAAGACTGGCCCTGATATCATCATACGGTTTGTTATATTAAATCAATACTCTTGTTTATTTTCTTGCATTTCGTCAATCTTTGTACTTGTGTTGTTACATTAGGTAGTTTGTTTTTGCACTTCTAGAGGCTAACTCAACAGTTTTCATTGTTGGTAAACCCTTGACATCTTTATTTTATCTTGTTTGGATAAACCATTGAAAGACACCCCAAGCATGCATTTAAATATCATTTATATACACAAATACTACATATAGATAATATCAAAATCTTTTACAGATGGCTTTTTGTTCAGCTGGGATATAAAACTGTCATCTAATAATTAAAGCTGTCATATTTTGATACTATCCAATTAACACCTAGAATTGGTCTTCTCCACGGTGGACTGCATCATTTCTCCACTGCAAATTGTGATAAACTAGGAGAGTCCAGAACTTCTGCTTCATGGGGTACAATTGTTTTCTCCATATGAAGGTGGGGATTTCAAAGCCAC